GAGAGTTGAGAATGTAGCCATAATGTAGTAAGGAGAGAGAACGATAAAGAGCATCGCATAATGGCATCAAACGCAAGTCTTGCGGTAAAAATACGCCACCATTTATCATCGAAAATGTGAACAGCGTTGATACTGATCTTATCGTGCGCGATTGGCAATATGAGTCGGTCCTTATTCCGTTATTGGTATTTTTCTTGCTCGTCATTCTGGTCGCACGCTCGCAGGTAGCCATCTATCAGCATCGTGCGCGCGCATGCACGTGCTAAGTATGCTTAAGTGTAATATGAACGTGGGACATCGATACTTAAGTCATCCCCGGGAGAAGGTGTCGACATGTCGAGAAGTACCGGTATCGACTTGAAAAAATTAAAACGAGCAGCACACAATGTAGCAATCAACGTGCAAGTGATGAATGTGCATCACGAAAATATTATATTGAGAGCTTTCGCCGATCTTCTTTTTTGTCATTAACGTAAAAGCCAGATGATTTTTTGCTGATCAATTTAATACACAAAATGTTTCGAGACACTTGGCACGATGCCGCCATCAATCGCTATTACTCATCCATCATGCGTATTGGAAAGGAAATTTAAAAAAAAAATTAACACCTTTGTTCTGTTTGTTTGTTATTTTAAAGGTGTTATCGCTCGGGGAAAAAATATATTTCAGCAACAATGTAACGATAGAAATTCACACGAATTATTAATGTGCGTTATAAAAATATACATATTGTGCATATCAGTCGCACTTGCGTGAAGAATGATTAACTGTGAAAATAAATAGGAAGAAAAATACATTACTCGTTGACGTGTGTTTTAGAACGTAGGTCTAAGTGAATAGCCAGTAAACAACTCGTAAATAATATAAATTCGCGCGGAGGCGCATACTTAGATCTTCACGCAAAATATATGGGGATCCGAAAAACACACTTCCCATGTCGTAAACCATTCGGTGCTATTCGCCTGTCACACTTCTCGCGAATCCGGTTGTGCCGTGTGAGTCATTCTCTACCCGGTGCGACCACAGCAGAGCGGCTGCGGCCGACTTCTTTTGACTTCATCGCGTACACACACACGGACATCGGGCCAGCTGTAGAAGCTACGAAGTATTCGATCTATTCGATATGTATTCAAAGCATTCGTCGGACATTTGGGACGTCCATTCATCTTCTCTCGGATCTCGAATCACCAACGGATTTGTCTATTTCGCTGTGCGATGCGGGATTCCATCACCCCAATAAAAAAAATACGTTCAACTTCATCCGCTTACTCGTGTTCGAAGATCACTATAGGATAAAAAAGAAATGAAGTACGGGCGATGTTTGGATTCCGACTACTTTGCTCCGGTGGTTGAGAACCAATACGGGGAATCCGCTTGAAAGTGTTGGTTTTAAGATGCCTGTGTCGTAAAAAAAATGAAGACGTAATTACTCTATTTCTTCTACGTAATTCGAATGTTTCTTCGCGCGAAATATTATATTTATAATTAATTTTAATTTATTTTTATTTACTAAATTTAATAACTTTCGAATAGACCCATGAAAACAAGAATGAAGATGCATATTTTTACACATAAAGGTTTTGTTGAAGTAACTAAAAATTTTTAGCTAGCTCGGAAAATAATGTTATTGGAACAATAAAATAATTATGTAGGTAATTAAACTTAAACTTGACGACGATGTCGCAGGTTTTAACATTCTACACACAGAAAAATACGCAAGTAATAATTACTTGTTTCAAGTATTTCAAAAGTTCATATATCCGCAAATCTATCACAAGTTCATCACAAGCATCAAATTTATTCAAAATATATTCTGAGTCCTAGTAAATTTAATACTTCAGTCAAGATTATTAAATTAAAACAAATTTGATTTACTTGTTATGCAGTCATTTCTCCGACAAAATTTATAATATTTTTCAAAAGAAAATAAGTTGTTGTTTTGAGTACATAATAATGAGTTTTTCTAAAATTTGTAATAAGTACCTATATTTTAAGATTATCAAGAAAATATTCTTAACAAAGAAAGTAAATTGAGTAATCTCATTTCTCTTAGCAATGGAATGATATTTTTCTGTATAACAACCTCTTTAAGGATTCTATTGTACATAATTATCTACTTATTTTGTTAGTCCAAATAAAATTATTTTCAAATCTATATCTAGCTAAATTTTTAGAATACTTCAGCAAAATCACCCTTCGTCCTCTCTTTTATTTGTTTTATTAAATGATCAATTACGATCGGTTATGATTATAACTTCGCCATTTAAAGTTGCTGAACTGAATATATCGACGGGCCATTATTGTCATTTCATTTTCATTATTTGTTCTTTTCCTTTTTTCATTTCTCCGTCCTTTCCACTTTTACACGGGCCAGCAAATCCGAGACTGAGAAATGAAATAAGTAACGCGTTGAGTTTGCAACGTAAAATATGATAAAAAAAAAATCTCTTTAATCTTATATAAAGGTAATTTGTTTCTTGCTAAATGAGACTTATTTAAGGATCTCCATCACTTTACAACATATGTGAGGAAAACTAATTGAATTTATGTGCGCGTATTTAACTTATCGCGAAAGTCGCCCATAATTTCGCAATTTATCCCCCCTCTTTCTTTTTTTTCTCTCTTCCGCCCTTCTATCGCTCTCCTCTTTCCCCCTCTCCTCTTAAAAGAATAAGTTTACGGACGTAGATTCTTCCGCTTCTCAGGTGCGGGCTTATCGCGAACAAGTTCTCGTGTTTTATCGTACGTGTATCCGGCTTTTAATCGACGCCGCTGCCGCCGACGATACCTCTTCTCTCTCCTCTCATGCCTTTCCCTCCTTTTTCCCTACGATCGTTATCGCGATATTTATACGGCGAATTAAGATATTCGCTTAAATCGCACGAGCGACTAAGTGGCCGACGACACTGTTTATCTCTTAAATAGGCGGGTGAAGTGATTTAAACGAGAATCCGATTGTGTGAAAAATTTCGTTCATCGTCATTTATGTTCAAATTTCTTTAATTTTTAACGTCGAATATCACTTCCCTTATTCTTGAGAGTCTTCGTCCGTTAATAACTATCTTTTTATTATACGTGCCCACCAAGCGCGGGTGGATTATGACGTCAGAAGCGCGGAGATTCGCACCGACGATCATCTTGGACTTGGCGAGTTTTCTCCAACGTGGGATCGTTCTCCTCTCGTCAACGAAACCACTTTCAAAACTTTATAAAGCGAACGTTCTTCGAAACATGGTACTACTTGTAAAACTGAATAATGACGGCAGTTCTTGAAAGACCCCCTCGAGATCCACAACTTCTAAACCACCAGTCTTTGACGTCGCGATGAAAACACTTGCTAAGCAACTTTAATTTAAAATAATGAAATATATTCTTATCAAAGCATCAAAAATTTAATGCAAGAGTGCTTATTGTATAATAATTTCTCAATTAAACTCCTGTTATGTGTAGCTCTTATCTCTAAAGTCTTTACGTGTTGGAATTAAATCTTTGAGAACTTGTTATTGTATTCTTATTATATACAGGGTGTTTCCAAATTAAATCGCAAAACTTCGGGAGCGTGTAGAGGAGTAAAAAACTAAGAAAAAAAGTCCTATAGACATATGCTCGTTTTTGCTCCGTTTCAGAGAAATCGAAAAAAAATGTTTACATTTCTTGCCATATCTAGCACCGACATATTTGATTACATTTTCCACTTTCTGTTATGAATTTGTCAGTCGCTCTTTGAAAGCCTTTAACAGTAGATGAATTTTGTCTTTTGCAATATGCCGCGTACGTATTCTAATAGTGAATATGCTGATATGGTTTTTGTATACGGTTTCTGCAACGGTAATGCTTTAAAGGCGGTGCGAGAATATGCACGACGATTTCCAAACAGAAGAGTGCCATATTTAATTTGGAAACACCCTGTATATCATACATATATATATGTGTATATATATATATGTACTTGTTATATATATGTATATATATATATATGTACTTGTTATATATAATCAATACATCTAATTAAATCTTAAATAAATGTAATATAATAATTCTGCAGATTGGAAATAAAGAAAAAGTAGACCGTAAAAGTCACTGACTTTACAAGATAATTGGCATCGGTAGTCAACTATCGTGTCTCAACTTCCACTTGATAGTAGAAATGACGATAAGAAAGAATACGTGAATATTATTTGTGATTCTCGCTACGTTCACACGAATAACTTCTACCTCGAGGAGAGGATCACTCTGGTTTCATAAAGTGTTATAAAATGCGGTAGAACGACGAAATATGATAGCGGTCGTGACTGCTACTATTTGAGACCCGATGTTGTAACTGCAATTTCTAAATTTCCGTTCCTACCACAGATACAGATTGATACAATATGTTCAAGTAATTGTTAACTTGCGGAGTTTATGGCGTCTCTCAAGAGGTCGTTTTATCGAATCAAAAAATATTTCTTCAACAAACGACCCATTCTCTCACGGACGTTAAGTTCCAAGAACTATCCGCGCAATTTTCCTTGTTGCTGACGTCGTAATCCGAAATGGATGTTGTAAGTATATGGTACTGTCAGAGTAAAGCGCGCGAGACCGTGTAGAAAAACGAAAGGTCGATGACGAAGGGTGGCGAAAGAAGAAGAGAGGAGGAGTAAATGAGAGAAACGAATCAAACTCCCGAGGTCTGGAGTCTACGTGATTCGAAATCAAGCCATTAAAGTACCTTCTCCTTAGAGCTGACTTTTTCTTAACGTTAATTTAAGAAATCGACGATCTTTCTTGTCGCTACAAGCGGAATAGAAGATAAATTTCTTGACAATTAAATTACGGATATAGAAATGTATATAGAATTATTTCAAATTACTTATTAATTTTAGATAGGATTCCCCATAAAATTTTAACTGAAATAAATTTATAGTTCGAGACATAATTACGAGGTTACTTAATAAAAATTAAAAGATAGTAAAGGGGAAGAGTATTTTGACGCTGACGAAGATCATTGCTGAGGAAGATTATCCTCGAACATGTCAAAGAGCACATTTTGCCTTTAACAACCTTTTAGAATCACTTTGTATGCAAATTGGTCTAATCAAACTTAAGCTCTCAATTGATCAAAGAGCCTCGCGTGGGGCTTAAAATTATACTCTACTTCAAAATTATTTAGTTCAAAATATATTTTACCAAATAGAAACAGATACTGAAGCAGAACTGTAGATGTTCAAGTTTCCCATTTAATTTCCCGTTTTCTGGTTTTTTAACGATAAGGAATAGTGATAAAATCTTAAATATAAAATAGGCCATAAAATCTCGAATGTGAAATAGATGATAAAATCTCGAATATGTTATTTACGTGTAAGTTGCGTAGCTTTAATAAGTAAGCACACTTGAGTATTTTTGACAAGCCAAAGAGAGAATCAACTTGATTTACTATAATTATACACAGAACTTTGAGATAGAATCGCGTTCATGCGTGATGAAAATATCGTGGGCAAGTATTTTCAATATTGCAACATCTTGCGCAACTACATATGTTGATAACATATCGCTGATAACTCAGATTGCTTTTCACGAAAACTCAAAATTGAATTTCTCTCTTATCTTTTCCGGAAAGTCGTAATTTTTCACAATAGAATCGCACGTATTCGATATAAATGCTACAAAAACAAAGATTGCGGCAATTAATATAGATGCGCTTTTGTTTAAATTTCAACAACGGGCATATCTCCCGTTAATTAACCTCAGATCTCTACTTGAGATATGTACAATAATAGGTATAGTAGTTGCACATTTTGCTTACGTGAAATATGATAATTGCATTGTTTAGGTACGTATACATAAAGGATGCGAGATGCATGAGAATTATGAGATGAGAATTAGCATGAAATAACATGAATTCCAAGAATGTATTATTAACATACATTGGAAATAATTTAATATTTATTAGTAATTTTGATATCATTTTCAATGTATAACGTATTTCTATGATTACCTATGACTAACAATTTTAGCCACAGTATTTAATTAAAATCATTCGATAGCGACATTAAACTATTATAATTAATTACAATCATATGTCGATTATATCATATATATAATTAGTTATAATTAATTACATCATAAGATTCATATTTTCCTGAATTTAATTGTGTGTTTTATCCAATTGTGTTTTTTATCCAACGTTGAATATTTCTAAAGAATTTCCGCTTTTATATTTTAATAAAATTATCATTTACATTTTATTATTTGATTATACAGAATTAATTGAAGACAACATTGAATATTTTCATTTTTATTTAAGTATTGTTTATTTAAATTTATTAAGAGAATATTCAGCTGCAAAGCGCGCAGTCAGAAAAACTGTAAAAGTTACATTGAAGTGCATGTGGCTCGACATTACCATATTAACTTGTGAATTAGTTTAGAACTCTTATCGTATTTTTATGTAACCTTAATTAGCGTATACACTTAAATATCCTCTCAAGCATCAGCCTATGCAAATTTACCCAATTAAAGTAATTACTGTATATGCGTATATATACGATTACTCTATATTGTACTTGAACGTAAAAAAAAATAAGAAAAAAATATGATATAGAAAGAAATAAAAGAGATGCATACGATATATATTTGCAATATTAGAATTACTATATTTTACGTGTCTTAAATTTCCTGCATTTCTAAGATCTATTTACATATTGAATTTATTAAAGTTGTGACAGTCTCTTCATCGCTTTTCGATTCCTCATAGCAACAGATCGAAATTTCTCCATCTAAACATTACGTTTCAACTTTTGTTCGACAGATAATTACGGCGTGTGACGACGACGCAATTATGAAGGCCCAAACATACTTCGTTTTCAACAAGAAGATATTGTGAAGATATCTTGAAGGCGTCAACCGCGATCAGCCTTACTTGTTGTACTGCAACATTTGCGGAAACTCGCGCAACCTCAAGACTTCTGATTCTTCCGGGAAAGGAAACACCCCTGTGAGTTTGAAACCGGGTTACCCGAAGCCCGTACGGGGGAGGAAGAATCTGAGAAGGTTCACGCGAGCCTGGACGAGCGCAGACGATCGATCGATTACCTCCTTGGAGGAAGAGGAGAAGGCGGAGGAGGAAAACAAGAGCGCGGAATAACCCAGAGTGTTTTTCTCGTAGGGGTTTCTCGCGTCGTTTTTAATCCGCAGGTACAGTAGGAGATTTGCGTGTCGAGCAGTAGTCATTTAAAATAGAACGAAATATAAATTCTATATCTGGATATTATGTCTTTTTGGGTTAATTGGGTAGCATTTTAGACAGTTTTAACGAGTTTTGGATTTTAATTTCAGATAAAAAAAGAAAATGAATCTTTTCTTTTTATCTGGATATATTTCATTATTAACCGCAAACATTGGAAAGCAGAAGAGAATAGTACTGGACATTCTTTCTGACACTGAATTGCTTAAACATTTAATTCTAACATAGCACTCTCATGGGTTAAAAGGGTCAATTACTACAGAACTCACAAACGTTTATTATAGCCTATTTGTTCATTCTTTTTCATACAAATGCTCTTATTATACATTCCTTTTTATAACTCAATAAATGGCTAATATTTTAGCTTGCTGTTTCTTTTTTTTTTACATTATGAGTTAAAGTACTAACGAGATGTAAAGCATTTACAGTTCATCGCATATAGCTTTGAGTAGCGTTTCTCTCCTTTAAACTGAATAGGGAATTACGATCCGTTTTACAGTCTACTAATTACCGCCTTTGAGAAGCCCAAGAAAAAGGTCAAACAATCGAACGCGAGCAAGGCTGTGTGAGCAGGAGAGGAAAAAGTGGACGAAGGAGAATAGGGACGAGCTCGCAGGGTCGACTATCAATCGTCGATCAATCAAAGAAAACGAAAGTGGTGGTCGGGGAGGCACGTGGGGATAAGGTCGAGAACGTTCAACGGGAGGCTTTCAAACGCGCCGTGTTCAATGAGACAAGGAGATGAAGACGAGGAAGTCGCTGCTGCCGATCGTTCTGTTGTGCGTGACGATGGTGGGCCTGGCGCTCTGCCAGGAGAAAAGGTGGTCGAAAGCGGGTATGAAGTACCGAGATAAAAGCGCCAAGGGCAAGTACGATCCTGATTATGCGGACAGGACGAGGGAGGACTCCGAAGAGGAGTTTTACTATGATCGAAGCTCAACGGCTACTGGCTATTACGAGTCTGGATCTCTCGACGCCTTGGCCGCTTACAGAAATAACAGAGCAATCGATACTTCCAGGTATGTCATCATAAGATCCAGAGATATATGAATTTGATGTCCTTTTTGATACTTTTGGTATTTCTAGAGATATATATATATATATGTATGTGTATATAAAGATACTAATTGTGTATAATTTAATGTATATAATTAGTGTATATAATTTGATTATTCTTATAAATTTGGTATGTCAAATGTATTGTTGAATACATTTATTTTTGATACTCTTTATGTTTTATATATCTCTAGAAAAACATCCTTTTAAATGTAACATACACAGGTTTATTACTAAAGAATGTTGATCAAAAATTTTAGAAAAGCGTTGAGCTTATTGGAAAATCGATTGAATAAACCGTTTTACTTATGAACGAATTACTTGATTTTTTGTGTAAACTGAACTTTTGCTCACGTTTACCCGGTATATCAGCAAATTCTTTCGTAATTGGAGAGGTACGTGATATTCGTCCGCAAATTTTCGGAACGCGGAAGGCGCCCACGTGTGCGAAAATTGCTGATTACCTTCTTAAAATGTTTTAAGCGGTGAACTTAGGTATAGAGCTGCTATCGTGTTGACGTTTATTCGAATATAAGTACTAAAGTGACTTTATTTTCACCAATTAATCTCCTCAAATTGATTATAACAAGTATCGCCGGCCGAGATTGCGACATCTCTACACAATAGTACTGTTAAAATTCCCTTTAATCTTCTTAGAGTTTTATTAGCAGCTTTTAATTGCCTTTTGCTAATTTTACTTTGCTAACGAATAATTCGTGATACTATGTACAAAGAATATAAATTTAAATGCAAGTGGTCCTTTCAATTCCGCGAAACGTATTTCTATTTTCCGAATGAAAAGACACTTGAATGCTAAGCGAAAAATTTCGTTTTACTATCGTTAAATGAAGATTGTGATTTGTATCGAATCAATTAATGATTAGAGTCATTGAAAAAGAAATTATCGGTTTTTTTACGATAATTCCTGGGAATATTTCTATGGAATATCTTGACGATTTGAGACTGTTTGAATTTTCGAAAGCGCGTGAGATGTTTGTGAAAAAAAGAAAAACCGAAAAGAGGATAGATAAATTTGTTTGCGTTAATAAACTCTTTTTTAATTCCTTATAAAAACAGTTGAACTGTCTCGCTTTGGAAGAATTCTGTCAACATTTGAACAATAAAACAAGTTAATGAAGAATTGAATTATTTCAGATCTATGGATATCGGGTCGAAAAACAGTCAACAGTCTAGTCAATCGTCGAATCTGCCCAAATCGCATACAAAATCGAGCGAAGAGGTAGGACGAGAGAAAGGACGAAGGCACAAGAATATGACAATCGGAGACGGTATCTGTCAGAGCATAGATATTAGAAACAGTGTTGACACTTTCGCGGTATTAAAAGACTGCCGTGTGATCGAGGGCTTTCTGCAAATCGTATTGATCGAAAATAACACCGAGGCGGATTTCGAGAACGTTAGCTTCCCGGAGCTGAGAGAAATCACTGGTTATTTTCTTTTATATCGCGTGGAAGGTCTGAGAAGTCTCAGCAAACTCTTCCCAAATCTCGAAGTCATCAGGGGCGACATACTCCTCACAGACTACGCTTTCATGATTTATGAAATGAAGAGCATGCAGGAGGTAAAAATCATGTAGACATTTCTGCTCGACTTTTTGTTTCTTCATCTTCTTATTCTTAACTTCATAACCTTGTCTTTGTGCTCTGTTTTCTCGAATAATAAAATTATTCCAAGTGGAATTTTAATTGGATCATCCGGAACGGTCCGCGCATAACTTTAACGTTATCTCAAAGACGCCAACTTTCATCTAAGTGACGAAAATGGATTTAAGATTGTCGCATTTATTGAGTCATTCAATATAATAAAGAAAAAAAAATTATAAAAAAATCTAGTAAAAAGATCAGAAGCTTTTTGATACGTAGTTATGAGGTCGTGGAATCTGGAGGTCTAATGTCAACATGTTAAAATAAATAGTATTATATGAGCACAACTTTCGTATCGTGCGGACGTTATAAAGGATTTTTATCCGCGTACACATGACAGTCGTCACGTACATTCCATATCTCAATCGTTCATTCCCACGCCGAATCAAGTCGAGTCTTGGTTTGAAAGTGTATAGCCCAGTATGTTGCCTAGGGCTCGGTCAAATGTTCAGGTCAAGTGATATTAATCAGTCAATCAAATTAACCAGCCATTCGACCTTTGACTCGTAATTCCACAGTTAATCCTGCGGAACTTTTTCGCAGATCGGCCTCATCAACCTGACAAAGATATCCCGGGGTGGCGTGCGCATAGAGAAGAATCCCGCTCTCTGTTTTACAAATACCGTGAATTGGAGCCTCATCGTTTCGGCCGGCGAAAACTTCATCAAAGATAACAGAAACGAACAGAGTTGCCCGCATCATGTGAAAGGTGATAGATACAAGTTTTAATTAGAAATATAAATATTTTTCCAAATATAAAGATTTTCAAAAATAAAAATTTAAAGTGTGTAACTAAATGTTATTTCTTAGAGAGAAATGATTAGAAAAATGATTACAACGCAAAAAATAATATTCCTTTAATAATATTTCGCAGGATGCTCTCAATGTCCTGGCAGTTACTGCTGGACTGCCCAACGTTGCCAAAAGTTAGAGAGACCAAGGTGTCATGAACAATGTCTCGGGGAATGTTACGGTCCAAGTGATACCGAATGTTACGTCTGTAAGCATTATCGACACGAAGGAAGATGCATTGAAAGCTGTCCCCTAAATTTGTGAGTAACTTTTGTGAAAATGCAAATGACGTAAAAACAGAAATTAAACTTTTACTGTATTTCTCTTACCTTGCATATAAATACAACATGAATAATGAAGGAGCTAATTTACAACTAAAATTACTTGATTTGAATTATGTAAATTATTTCAAGAAAATTACCAATTTTTATAGATTTTAATAAGTTGAAATATTACCTTTTTTCTTGGCAAACATTTACTTGATAGGATCGCTATTTTTACAGTTTCTTCATATTCAGTTTTAAACTTGGTACATATTAAAAAATTAAAATTATGTTAAAGTAAGTTTGATTTAAAATTGAAGTTTTCGAAACATCTAATACTGAAAATTAAGGAATTTTGACGCGCACTGAACAAAATTTTAAATTCAAATGAGAGGCCTTACATAAAATATCTCAAAGTTTTATATTACACATTGTGTTTTAGACACGGCGTATTAAAGTTTTCGAGACATAATGTCTGACGATAAACATGCGACATATAGTCCTACAGACCTAGTCTGTAGGAAGATCTCTTATTCTGCTGTAACAACGGTTTTCTGTTCACAGATACGCATATCTCTCGAGACGGTGCATCAGCAAGGACGAATGCCAAAACATGAATCATATCAGAAGATTTTCTAAATTGGAGGAAATACAGATATGGCGACCTTTCAATAATTCCTGTGTCACTCAATGTCCTGATGGTTTCGAGGATTATGTCGATGACAAAAATGTACGATAGCTTTATACGTTTCATTGCATGAAATATGCGTTATATATATATATCCATATCTTTATTATTAGCTCTTTTTCTTTATTTTTTATTTTGTATTACAGGTAACAAATTGTCGGGTTTGCAAAGGACAGTGCCGTAAAATCGCAAAAGGTGCTATTATACGCCATATTTCGGATGCACAAAGTTTTCGCGGTATAACGGTGGTGAAAGGGGCTCTGGAGTTTCAAATTAGAAATGGTAATCCAAATATAATGAATGAATTGGCGGATGCATTCGGTTTAATCGAGGAGATAACCGAATATCTGAAGATAACGCATTCTTTTCCAATCACATCGCTGAATTTCTTCAAGAAGCTGAAAGTGATCAAGGGTGAAAATTTAGACATTAACAACGCGAGTTTCGTGGTTCTGGATAATCCAAATCTCTCCTCCCTTTTCCCGCTATCCCAAAAGATAACGATAGAAACCGGCAGGCTGTTCTTTCATTACAATCCCAAGCTCTGTCTATCCAAGATAGAGCAGTTCGGTAAAATGGTGAATATCACTAACTTCACAGATCTTGAGGTCCAACCAGAGTCAAATGGTGACAAAGTTGCTTGCAATATCGTCAACATAAACATCACGGTGAAAAAGCGAGATGCGGATCACGTCATTTTGAGTTGGGACAGCTATAAGCCACCAGAAGGCCAACAGCTGCTAAACTATCTGTTAAGTTACATAGAGACCGAGAACGAAAATATAACGTACGAGGCGAACGCTTGCGGTAATAACACGTGGCAGATAGTGGATGTTGGTATACCGAGTTGGAATTCAACCGTTTCGAAGTATATTACGAATTTAAAACCGTACACAAAATATGCCGCGTATGTGAAAACATTCACAACAAGAAACAAAAATTCTTCAAGTTCCTTCGTAACTCCGGTGGGTCAATCGAACATTATCTTTTTCCGAACGAAGAGCGCGATACCTTCGGTGCCGACGAACGTGAGCTCGATCGCAACAAGTGATAGCGAAATTCTACTCAAATGGGGTCCACCGGTGTATTCGAACGGTCCTATAGGCTACTATATGATCTCCAGCACGATTCGATTGGATGATGAGGAACTGATCGCCTCGAGGGATTACTGTATTGATGCTTTAGTCAACGAAGCAAAGGAGATTAAGGACGCGAAGATTTCTAAGCAGTTTGAAATATTCTGCCACAAGAATATGACTATCAGTCATTTATCGCCCGGTTGGAAGGATTACTGCGTTTTTAATGACTATAATTCGCCGGAGAGTAAATTTTATGATGTGACAAACAATTTATCCACTTTAACGCAGGAAGGACAAAAAACTGCGACAGACGTTTCGGTTAACGCTGGTAGCAGCATCACGAGTAGCCAATTGCATGATGAGATGTACATATACAACGTAAGTGCGCAAAATACTTCATATATTTTGAAGAACTTGCACCATTATTCTTTATACACCATCACAATTGCTGCGTGTGGTGTCAAAGACAGCGACGCACCAATGTGCTCAACAATTCAATATGCGAATGTCCGGACGTTGAAACGACCAAACGCGGACGATGTTCACAACGTGAAGGTTCATGTGACTAACAATACGATAATCGAAGTCACTTGGGAATCAGTCAAGGATCCAAACGCATTCACTGTCTCGTACACCATCGAGTACACAAATATGGACGTAAAGGATGCGAAGAAGAGTACCGAGTGCATACCGTACATTGGGCACAGGGAAAAATATATCAATCATTTTATCAGAAACCTCAGTCCAGGTAGATACAGCCTGAGAATGCGTTCCACGTCACTAGCGGGTGACGGCATCTTTACCAATACAATTTATTTCTCAGTCGGTTTATCGGATAACAATCGAATAATGATGGCAACGCTGTTGATTCTAGCTGTGTTAATCATCACTGTGAGTTCGATAATATTCCTTATTAGGAGCCACCAGAAGAAGAAAACACAGGAGCGATTGATAGCCAGCGTGAATCCAGATTATATCGAGACTAAGTATGTTGTTGATAGCTGGGAAGTACCTAGGGAGAACGTCGAGATTCTGGAGGAGCTCGGTTTGGGCAATTTCGGCATGGTGTACCGAGGATACCTGGATGGCACCGGACAAGTAGCAATTAAAACGATCTCTGAAACCGCCAGCCAACGAGAAAAGAACGAGTTCCTGAACGAGGCCTCGGTCATGAAGAACTTTTCGACATGGCATATCATCAAGTTGCTAGGCGTAGTCTCCATGGGCAATCCGCCATTCGTCATAATGGAGCTCATGGAGAATGGCGATCTAAAGACGTACCTGCGGAGGATACGTGACACTCAGATGGTGCCGAACGCATCCAGGATAATGAGAATGGCCGCGGAAATCGCCGACGGTATGGCCTACCTGGAGTCAAAGAAATTCGTGCACCGTGATCTAGCCGCCCGCAATTGCATGGTGTCCAAAGACCTGGTCTGCAAGATCGGCGACTTTGGCATGGCGAGAGATATTTACGAGACCGATTACTATAAGATCGGCAAGAAAGGTCTGCTGCCGATACGCTGGATGGCGCCGGAGAATCTTTCCGATGGTGTATTCACATCCGATTCGGATGTGTGGTCATTTGGTGTCGTGCTCTACGAGATACTCACTCTCGCCGAGATACCCTATCAAGGTTTCTCGAACGAGGAGGTGTTGCATCACGTGTTACGCAAAGGCATGCTGAACATACCGCGGAACTGTCCCGAAACCATACAAAAGATCATGGAGAAGTGCTTCAAGTGGCGGCCCAGTGAACGCCCGACCTTCATGGAGATCGTTTCCGAGCTGGAACCGTTCCTGGGCCAGGACTTCTGCGAGAAATCGTTTTACCACTCCGACGAGGGCATCGAAATACGTAGTCTCGGCATCAAGAAGGTCTACCACAATGCCGCACCGATTCGATTTCATTGGGGCCACGAGACCGCGAGGTGGGTGAAGGACTTCGAGGACAACGTGACGTTGCTCGATCAGATGAAGGCGGGCACCAGCCGAGGACGGATCTTCAAGAACGGCTTCCAGCACTTCGGTAATGTAACGAACTTCGAGGATGTTCCACTCGATCGATGAGATTAGTCGGTATACCGTTGAGCGGGAAAAATCAGCGGAATGAGATGTAACTGCTTGAAACCGTCTTTGATCATAAAATCCGCGGAAGGACATGTAGATATTAACGTACAAACAATACTCAGGGCAATACGCGAGTGGTCTGACAAGGCTGTCGGACAAAAATATGTAAAGATGTTACCAAGTTGCTCGCACGCTCGTTCGCTCACTTGCTCGCTCGCTCGCTTGTTCGTTCGTTCGTTCGTTCGTTCGCTGGCGTGGCGATAAGTGTTTCGTGTCTTTCTCTTGTTGTGGATTAAACGTAATCAGATCTTAACGGTGAATAGCAATGCAGAGAGAAGACCTCGCTGTGCGCATCGTTGCGACGGTGTATGGAAAAGATGGTGTTCGTAATAGAAGTTAAGCTATTGAACAATTAGGTAAATAAACGTAGACGCGTAGTGTTTCATAATCGAAAGCCGTGGCTTCATAGATCCGTGTTTTTTTTTTTTTTTCCTAACCACGCCCGAAGTTCTTTCTGCAATGTATCAACTGTTCATTCCTTTCGGGATTACTTTTCTTTATCCTTCGTACGGGCATATAAGTTAGTCCTGAAGCAACTATTCTCGAATCTTGCTCGAGCTTCAACAATATCACAAGATTGACAAAAATTTAGTTTTTTTTCACTTTTGATGTTAGATCATCCTGATAAAAAAAAAATTAGAATTTTTCCCTCTTTTTGATTGATAATAAAAAATATCGTTAAACGTCACTTTTAATCAAATTTTTGCATTTACTTTTGTTATTTAATTGACGTAAAAAAACATTCAAACGAAAATACATATATTTGAAATCGTATGATATTAATTATATTGCCAGTCTTTTCGGGAGAGTTTATAAGAGACGTCATTTCGTATCATTTCGAATTCGGGAAATATTGTTTCAGGATCATTTGAAACACACAGCGGAAGAATGATTTCTATAAACCAGAGTTCCTTGTCACATGCGTATAAACACCTGTAGCATGATATGTTACAGCGTAATCTCAAGGTTGTAAATAGTTAACTTTAACTCGCAGTTCGTATATGGTAAGTTAAAATAGAACTGGATGCAATATACGCCGCGCATAGTCCTATATTACGTAATAATTTATATTGAGAGAGAAAGATAGATGAGAGAAAGAGAGAGAAAGTGGATGTGTGTGTGTATGTGTGTGTGTATGTATTGTGTTGTGTGTGTGTTTTAAAAAAGACAAACTTCACCCTCGCATGTAAATAAAGTCATAAGTCTCTTCTTCAAGAGTTGCGGGTACCTCGTAGGTAAATTATTGCAATAAGAGCGTGTCAACAATCCACGATCCACAATTTTCACAATAAAGTAAACGTGACGGATAAGAAAGGGGGAAGACTAATGGGTGCAAATTAGGGGCCTACCAGTTTGATCACGTTTCAGTTTCCTGCACGATACAGAATTGTAGATTTTGACGTTTCAGTCTCGGATTTTACAGATACGGAATCGGATGACGTAAATAATCAGTAGGTAGTAACGACAAACAAGGTGATATATAAACGCAATACATTGAGAAATCTCTGGGACGGGTCTTGTCGATCATCAAGATATTCTACTCTGTACTCTTCGGTTTTCACTTCTCTGTATTTTTCCTTTGTTTGCCCTATTCATCATAAGTCAATATTACTGTTTCAAGCGTAAAATGCTTTGTATCTAATCGCTTTTGTTTGCTTTCGTTCCAACTTAAATCTCGTTACGATTTCGTATCTTAAAATACGAACGATTATCATTTCGAATAGAGATCAGTTAAGACTACGGAATGATGCACTTATTCGCGCGAAACCTATCTTGAGATTCAACAAACAAATTTCTCGGCAGTGTGTAAGAACGGCAAGCTAAAAATAACACACGATTCGCAAGTTCATCAAACAAAACTGATATAAATAAATAATACAACTCGAATCAGAGTCGCTTGAATATTACATTTCAAATCTTTAAAAAAGAAAGATACGATAAAGTATCTTCCATTGTACGAAAAGCAATTAAAATAGTTAAAAGAAAAGTTTAACAAAATTAATATTCATGCTGTGTATCACTGTCCATATCGCGAGTCTATTTAGGCGAGATTTTAATTTTCTTGCCTTGTACAAATATTTTGAACATTCTCGAGATGCAAGATTCATTTCAGTTTGATAGAATTTATCCATTTCTGCAGAGATTTCGGAGAGAGAAAGAGAAAAAAATGTATGTTGCGTGTATAGAAATAATAGAGAAGTGCTTTTGACAAAAGAAAGTATAACACTGAATTTTTTTAAGATATATCGTATTCGCGTTGCTAGGTGGTTGTATAGTATAAAAGTTATCTCGTTGTCCTGGCAAGGGAGCAGAGCAATCTTCCGATATTTCACAGTAATGAAAGGCACGCTGCTAAGTAACGAGAGAGTACGGACGAACACACCATTTAGAAAAAATCGGTTGAAGAATCGCGTCTCGATATTAAAAGAGAAATCATTATTAAAGAGAAAGAGAAAGAAATAAAAAGGAACGCATATGCATCGGCAGCATTGGTTGATGAAAGAGAAAGTGCTAAATGTAAAATATGGTAGATCCAAAGAGTATTTTGATATAATAAAATTCTCAAGACATAAACACGTTTCGGAGAATGTAGACGTGATCGGTCCAATTTCTGACACAGTTGCGACTTGTGTTGGCCAACTAGAAGCCAACTGTATGTCGCGAAACTTCGAAGAGACTCGAATATCTGAGGAATTCCGCAGTACGGATTTCTCCCAGATTGAGTTCGGGAATAGGCTTTCTAACTGTTTCATTACCCCTTCGTCCGAGTAATAATGGGTCGCGCGCAGCAAGGACTGAGTGTACAGTAATTAGTAATAACGATCGGCTTAATTGCGACGCGCACTGCGGCGAAGCGCAACTTGAATCAGTCCTTCCCTGAGTAATCCCGAACTTTGCATTTCAGATTACAGTTTCTCTGATTGTCCAAGTCGCGTTAAATAATATAATATCAGTTAAATCTCTTTGTCCGATGTGACAGGCAAATCGGCTTATAATAGAAAGAGGAGTCGTATAAAGCGCGTAGAATTCCGATTTTACACCGTACTCTATTTGCTCGTTTAACTCTCACCGATATTTAAAAAATGGAACATGTAGTAAGCGTTTTTTACAGTGATGTGGTAAAATTGAAAACCATTAAAACCACGTATAAACCTTTCTGATTCATAAACTATCATTTTTGAGACGCGTGCATAAGCGAGATAGGCGTGGAAATAGGAATTAACGGTCCATGCAATTTGGTGCGGAGCTCGTGCAGCTTTTCGCACAGATAAAATTTACATATGTAAAAATATAACGTAATTTGCGATTAACGTCGCATTCCTATCTCGAGCAGAGACAGAATTAACGTTCACTCTTTGGAAAATTTTTGGAAACGACTCGAATTACCAGAACCAGTTATTTACTGTTTATATGCTTGTTCCTATTATGCTGAGCACGCGTATTGTAAATATATGCAATATATTTATATATATATGTGTATATATTGCAATATGTTTATACATATATATTTTTTCGATTTAGCTACACACGCATCAGGAGAGAAAGCCGCGCGGCATTCACTATACGTATAGCAATACAATTAGCATTTTCGCTACAATAATGCTTCACCGTGCATTACGAGAATAGTGGCAAGTATCGTTGACGACATTAATAAAGTTTAGACGATTGTAAAGTTTAATGTAGTCGTAACGTAGAAGCTCAGCTCTCAATGTTCATCTCGAGATTTCGTCCGAGTGGCTGGAATAACCCTTAAACGACGGTACGACGCGGTTCCCCTCATCGTTTAGATGCAACTATGATCATTCTATCACATTTCTCGATACGAATTATTTATGCTATATACATATATGCCATTTAAATACTTAAGAAAGAACGTTAACATTTTATCAATGCCCTCGTAATAATTATATTCCTATCGCACCGTCACTATAAAAATTATATATGTATATATTGATATATAGATATATATTTAAGTATATATTTATTCCTACTAGAGATTATATTTTATATTGTATATGCTCTTAGACTTAGAGATTCGCTTTTCCTTTGAGACAGCAAAACGCGTCGTACTACGTCGTAACACGTACACACTCCTAGCACCGACTGCTTTCTCCACGAAGCTCTCACTACTAAAGGCGCACCATAATCAGGGTCTTAGGAAATAGGATATCACTGCATCAGGTTCCTGCCTTCTTTCCGCAAAGAAAAAGCAAGCGTTTTCTCAACGCGTCACGATACAGCAGTAATATTAGAGGAGCGCAAAAATAATTTCGTAGATGTTTTTTTTTTGTCGCTGTTCTTTTTATCGCATATGCGTCGCTACCGATAAGATTAATTCCAGTTGAGATGTTTCGATGATTTAAAGAGAGCTACTTGAATCGATGAAGTCTCGTGGAACCATTTTATCAAATATCAGATTCTCGTAGAACAAGAGACGCGCTGACCTGAATAAATAATAGTCCGAAGTTCGAAGTTTATTGTTCGTGCTCGTGCACGTTGAGGAAAATTTCTGATTAAAAATGGATGAGCTAGTGGATTCTGATCATATCAGTCGGAATTCTAATCCATCCGGATGACCGATTATAATGACTAGAATTCTGATTAATATGATCAGAATCTACTGGTTTATTCATTTTCATTCAGAAACTTTTCTTAGTGCAGGAATATGTGATTGCCGCCTCATACAGCATGAAATATTTATGAATCATTTTACATGAGATAATTATGTCGAACATATTTTTGAGATACTGCCAGATCGTATGGTATAGAGCAAATGAAAGTCGTGTATAAAAACATTTTAAAATATTGCATTAAAATATTTCACAAAAGTGTTGTACAAATATTTTAAGACAAAGAATATTTCAAAAATTCTGGATTTCCTGGACATATTTATATTTCAGAGAGATTTCTTGAAAAATTTCTGAAATATTTCAATCTTGCGATGAAATATTTTAAAAATACTTCTGAAATATTTCATGTTGTGTGGGTTGATCAAAGCAAGCAGCCAATATTAGCTCGAATGAAAAATTACGTGCGAATATAACTCTAAAATTACTACTTGCGTCGCCCTAATAAGTGCCATGCACGCGATCGTGTGCGAAGTTTCTTTCAGGAT